GACAAATTAAAGGCGGAACTGTCAGCCAAGACAGAAAAGGGTAAAAGTCGGATCTAAACGGATCCTCATGAATTCATATGATTTCTGTACTGCAATGAAATAAAACTAGCATCATACTGTAGACCTTGTCTAAGACTATAGGAAGAACTACAAAAATCATGCCCCCACGAATTCGTGGCACCACAAAACTGCAAAAACATGGTTCCAAAGCACGGATCCTCATGGATCCTTATGATTCTTGCCCTGTGTCACCCCAAAACCACCATCAGATAATATGCCTCGTCCGTGACCAAAGCCTGCACCACAGAAATCACGGGGCCACGGTTCTGTGGCAACACCATGCAGCAAAAACATGGTTTTGCCCCACGGATCCTCACGGATCCTTATGATTTTTGCCTTGTGTCACCCCAAAACCACCATCAGATAATATGCCTCGTCCGTGACCAAAGCCTGCACCACAGAAATCACGGGGCCACGGTTCTGTGGCAACACCATGCAGCAAAAACATGGTTTTGCCCCACGGATCCTCACGGATCCTTATGATTTTTGCCTTGTGTCACCCCAAAACCACCATCAGATAATATGCCTCGTCCGTGACCAAAGCCTGCACCACAGAAATCACGGGGCCACGGTTCTGTGGCAACACCATGCAGCAAAAACATGGTTTTGCCCCACGGATCCTCACGGATCCTTATGATTTTTGCCTTGTGTCACCCCAAAACCACCATCAGATAATATGCCTCGTCCGTGACCAAAGCCTGCACCACAGAAATCACGGGGCCACGGTTCTGTGGCAACACCATGCAGCAAAAACATGGTTTTGCCCCACGGATCCTCACGGATCCTTATGATTTTTGCCTTGTGTCACCCCAAAACCACCATCAGATAATATGCCTCGTCCGTGACCAAAGCCTGCACCACAGAAATCACGGGGCCACGGTTCTGTGGCAACACCATGCAGCAAAAACATGGTTTTGCCCCACGGATCCTCACGGATCCTTATGATTTTTGCCTTGTGTCACCCCAAAACCACCATCAGATAATATGCCTCGTCCGTGACCAAAGCCTGCACCACAGAAATCACGGGGCCACGGTTCTGTGGCAACACCATGCAGCAAAAACATGGTTTTGCCCCACGGATCCTCACGGATCCTTATGATTTTTGCCTTGTGTCACCCCAAAACCACCATCAGATAATATGCCTCGTCCGTGACCAAAGCCTGCACCACAGAAATCACGGGGCCACGGTTCTGTGGCAACACCATGCAGCAAAAACATGGTTTTGCCCCACGGATCCTCACGGATCCTTATGATTTTTGCCTTGTGTCACCCCAAAACCACCATCAGATAATATGCCTCGTCCGTGACCAAAGCCTGCACCACAGAAATCACGGGGCCACGGTTCTGTGGCAACACCATGCAGCAAAAACATGGTTTTGCCCCACGGATCCTCACGGATCCTTATGATTTTTGCCTTGTGTCACCCCAAAACCACCATCAGATAATATGCCTCGTCCGTGACCAAAGCCTGCACCACAGAAATCACGGGGCCACGGTTCTGTGGCAACACCATGCAGCAAAAACATGGTTTTGCCCCACGGATCCTCACGGATCCTTATGATTTTTGCCTTGTGTCACCCCAAAACCACCATCAGATAATATGCCTCGTCCGTGACCAAAGCCTGCACCACAGAAATCACGGGGCCACGGTTCTGTGGCAACACCATGCAGCAAAAACATGGTTTTGCCCCACGGATCCTCACGGATCCTTATGATTTTTGCCTTGTGTCACCCCAAAACCACCATCAGATAATATGCCTCGTCCGTGACCAAAGCCTGCACCACAGAAATCACGGGGCCACGGTTCTGTGGCAACACCATGCAGCAAAAACATGGTTTTGCCCCACGGATCCTCACGGATCCTTATGATTTTTGCCTTGTGTCACCCCAAAACCACCATCAGATAATATGCCTCGTCCGTGACCAAAGCCTGCACCACAGAAATCACGGGGCCACGGTTCTGTGGCAACACCATGCAGCAAAAACATGGTTTTGCCCCACGGATCCTCACGGATCCTTATGATTTTTGCCTTGTGTCACCCCAAAACCACCATCAGATAATATGCCTCGTCCGTGACCAAAGCCTGCACCACAGAAATCACGGGGCCACGGTTCTGTGGCAACACCATGCAGCAAAAACATGGTTTTGCCCCACGGATCCTCACGGATCCTTATGATTTTTGCCTTGTGTCACCCCAAAACCACCATCAGATAATATGCCTCGTCCGTGACCAAAGCCTGCACCACAGAAATCACGGGGCCACGGTTCTGTGGCAACACCATGCAGCAAAAACATGGTTTTGCCCCACGGATCCTCACGGATCCTTATGATTTTTGCCTTGTGTCACCCCAAAACCACCATCAGATAATATGCCTCGTCCGTGACCAAAGCCTGCACCACAGAAATCACGGGGCCACGGTTCTGTGGCAACACCATGCAGCAAAAACATGGTTTTGCCCCACGGATCCTCACGGATCCTTATGATTTTTGCCTTGTGTCACCCCAAAACCACCATCAGATAATATGCCTCGTCCGTGACCAAAGCCTGCACCACAGAAATCACGGGGCCACGGTTCTGTGGCAACACCATGCAGCAAAAACATGGTTTTGCCCCACGGATCCTCACGGATCCTTATGATTTTTGCCTTGTGTCACCCCAAAACCACCATCAGATAATATGCCTCGTCCGTGACCAAAGCCTGCACCACAGAAATCACGGGGCCACGGTTCTGTGGCAACACCATGCAGCAAAAACATGGTTTTGCCCCACGGATCCTCACGGATCCTTATGATTTTTGCCTTGTGTCACCCCAAAACCACCATCAGATAATATGCCTCGTCCGTGACCAAAGCCTGCACCACAGAAATCACGGGGCCACGGTTCTGTGGCAACACCATGCAGCAAAAACATGGTTTTGCCCCACGGATCCTCACGGATCCTTATGATTTTTGCCTTGTGTCACCCCAAAACCACCATCAGATAATATGCCTCGTCCGTGACCAAAGCCTGCACCACAGAAATCACGGGGCCACGGTTCTGTGGCAACACCATGCAGCAAAAACATGGTTTTGCCCCACGGATCCTCACGGATCCTTATGATTTTTGCCTTGTGTCACCCCAAAACCACCATCAGATAATATGCCTCGTCCGTGACCAAAGCCTGCACCACAGAAATCACGGGGCCACGGTTCTGTGGCAACACCATGCAGCAAAAACATGGTTTTGCCCCACGGATCCTCACGGATCCTTATGATTTTTGCCTTGTGTCACCCCAAAACCACCATCAGATAATATGCCTCGTCCGTGACCAAAGCCTGCACCACAGAAATCACGGGGCCACGGTTCTGTGGCAACACCATGCAGCAAAAACATGGTTTTGCCCCACGGATCCTCACGGATCCTTATGATTTTTGCCTTGTGTCACCCCAAAACCACCATCAGATAATATGCCTCGTCCGTGACCAAAGCCTGCACCACAGAAATCACGGGGCCACGGTTCTGTGGCAACACCATGCAGCAAAAACATGGTTTTGCCCCACGGATCCTCACGGATCCTTATGATTTTTGCCTTGTGTCACCCCAAAACCACCATCAGATAATATGCCTCGTCCGTGACCAAAGCCTGCACCACAGAAATCACGGGGCCACGGTTCTGTGGCAACACCATGCAGCAAAAACATGGTTTTGACGCACGGATCCTTATGATTTTTGCACTGTGATCCTTATGATTTTTGCACTGTGACGCACGGATCCTCACGGATCCTTATGATTTTTGCACTGTGAAAAAAAAAAGGATCCGTGCTTTGGAACCATGTTTTTGCAGTTTTGTGGTGCCACGAATTCGTGGGGGCATGATTTTTGTAGTTCTTCCTATAGTCTTAGACATGGTCTACACTGCAGTATGATGCTGGTTTTATTTCATTGCAGTACAGAAATCATATGAATTCATGAGGATCCGACCTTTGGAATCATGTTTTTGCGCTGTTCTGGTGCCACGAATCCGTGGGATAGTGATTTCTATGGTGCCCCCTATAGACTAACACATGGCCTACGATATGATGGTGGTTTGATTTCCTTTCAGTGTAAAAATCATATGAATTCACTCCGTTTAGATCCGACTTTTACCCAGACCCAGCAAAGACGGTTCAGACCAATTTCCCACAAGCAGCTGCACTCCCTCGCGCTTCCCCATTGCATTCCTCAATTTCCCACTATTTGCTGCACGGCCGCATTTTGACCCAGCCGCAGCATCCCCCGATTTCCCCCCTTCGCGATCTCATGTCCAGGAAGGGACCCCCCCCCCCCCGCCGCTTCAAATTGAAAAAAATGAAAAAAGCGTCTTGAAATTGATAAAAATGAAACTTCGTGGCTTTCTACTGGGTTTTTGTGCACGTGTCAAACCGTTTTTCATGAAGGGGTTAAACTGTTCCTTGGTTGGGTATGCTAATGAAGGCAAGCTTAGCGCTGAGGACCAATAAGACACTGAGACGATCCTCCCGCCACAGGCGGGGAAGGTCTATTCGTATTCACGTGACCTCTAGCCTGACCACTGGCCGGTCAGTACTGTGATGGTCACACCTGCTATCTGGCACCTACACAGAAGGAGGAGTTTTTCGGGGGGGCCGGGGGGGGGAGGTCTTCCTCCCTTTGTCCTGGAGTCGTTAGAAGACTCCACGCTTGAAAATGGTGTCGATTAGCAAATTTATTTTCTCTTCTTCTTCCATGTAATCCGTTCCCTGGTTTTCCTAGTAAAGTCGTTCTTAGAACTGAACGCGCGCGGCCCTGCATCTCTTTTCTTTTTGCTGCTGCACGAATACTCTGCGCGCGGGAAGTCGTCTCCAGGAAGGGAAACCCCCGACCAGTGCCTCGGCTTGGAAGTAATAGAAACGGAAGTCGAAGCTTCCGGAGTGTGTGTGTCGAAGCTTCCTCTTGGGCGGCCATGGCCAGTGGGGGTCCCGTCCGAGAGCTCTGCGAGGAAGTCACCTGTCCCATCTGCCTGGAGTACTTCAGGGACCCGGTGACGATTGCCGAATGCGGCCACAATTTCTGCCGGGCCTGCCTGACCTGCAGCTGGGGGGAGTCGGGGGGCGAGGCATCCTGCCCCCAGTGCAGAGGAAAGGCTCAGGAGGGAAACCTCCGGCCGAATCGGCAGCTGGCAAACATCGTGGAAATAGCCCAAAAACTCAGCCTCCAGGTGGAAGAAGCCAGGAAGGAAGAAGCCCGGGAGAGAATCTGCGAGAAACACCGGGAGCCCCTCAAGCTGTTCTGCCAAACTGATGAGATCCTGGTCTGTATGATCTGTGATAAATCCAAGGAGCACAAAAGTCATGAGGTGATTCCAGCTAAGGAGGCTGCCCAGGAATACAAGGTAAGAAACGGTGTGGATCGTCCTGGTGTTTCTCTGTGGATTTGCTCCTCCAAGTCCTGTGCTTTAGCTAAGATGGCCAGGGCTACCTCTATACTGCAGTAACTAGTGTGTGCCCAATGGTCTACTAGCAGCTATGTTTTGAGCAAAATAATAGAGGGGGGGGTGAACAAGTGAAAACAGCAACAGTACAAAGAGTCTGAAAATCATACCATTAGTGCCTGGTGATTGCAGAGGAAAGCCCCCAAATATCCACATTTATGAGCACTGTTGCATTCAGGCTTCATAGTATCAAGCACTGGATGGAATTGTCTGTGTATCTCCCATAGCCTTCTTATTTATTTGTTTGTTTATTTGTTTATGCTATTTATCTCACAGGGACTCAAGGTGGAGAGCTCATAGTGAGTCAGTACAATCAAGGAAGAGCACATTCAGTAACCAACATATTAGGATTTTAAAAGTCTGGAACTACCAGAAAGAACGGAAGCATAGCCTAGGTATTCACATGACACTTTAAGTGGCACAGAAATTACATAAATGGGAACCTAATTACAATAAGCTGTACATGACAACATAGAACAGATCCAGGTAGTCAGCCGTGTTCCTGATATGACACCTCATCCACCTCAGAAAGTGCTGTTAAGTGGTCTCCATGCCTGGGAGGAGAGGATGGAGATTCTCGATTTGCTTCCCATAATTAGAAAAGACTCCTTCAGATATTTATCTACTATTCGAACATATTTATTGCTTTACAGCTGTTGACCTTATAACCTTAGCTTGTTATTTTGGACTTTGCATATCTTAAACACCACCATGTTACATGTTAATTTCCCTGTCTATAAGTTTGAACCTTACACACCATTCCAATGTATTTGAAAAAGTGTGCCTTGCACACGAAAGCTCATACCTTGAATAAACCTTTGTTGGTCTTAAAGGTGCCGCTGGACTCTAAATTTGTTCTAGCATAGAACAGAGTCTCTGATCATTTATCTAAGCTATAAGAAGGCTATGGGAGATACACAGACAATTCTATCCAGTGCTTGATACTATAAAACTTGAATGCAACAGTGCTCATAAATGTGGATACTTAGGGGGCTTTTCTCAGCAATATAAAACCAGGTCAGCCATATCCAAGTAAGAGGCCATTTTTGGGGCTAGGCTGAGAAAGATTTTTTCTTCAGTTTGGATCCAAGTCTGCCTATGAGAATAAATGTGTGTGTGAGAGTAACAAGCTCGGGGCTATCATTGCCTTGCAGCCTAACCTACCTTGCAGGCTTGTTGTGAGGATAAAATGGAGGGAGGGGAAAGCCATTTTTTTTGCCACCCTAAATTCCACGGAGGAAAGGCAGGATAAAAATGCATTAAAGTAACAAACAGGTAAAGGAAAGAGAGGGATGGGAGGTCCTTGAATGAGGAAGAATGAGAGATATAAATCTCATGGGAGGAAATCTCAGTGGCTCAGTGGGAAGGGCACTGCAGTGGGGAAGAAGGGGTTCAGGTCACTGTGAAGGTAATGGAAGTGTCACTTTGGCAAGGTCTAGCTTGCTGCAGTAACTTTTAGGGCTTCTGGGGGGGGGGGACCAAAGAATTCCCAGGGCCCAATTCAGCTGGCGGGCCCCTGAAGCCAATTTCAAGCTTCCTTCAGAATGCACCCCACTTTGACTTCTAATGCAGTGCTGTACTGAAACCACTAGGGGAGCACAGAAAGTATCAAGCTCTGCTTTCTGCAAAGTTTACTCCAAGGAGGCAAACACTTGCCCATCCTGCTAAACCCATCTACCAAGTCAGAATTGCAGCAAGGCCAGAGCAGCCAGCACAGCTCCCGGCTACTAGAGTCATTGGCAGGCTGCAGACTCCTAACAAGGTTGTTGCTGCCAGAAAGTTTCCCTGTTCCTTTCCTTCCACCCAGCTCATAGTCTATCTGCTCCGCTGGATCTTCCCTGTTAGTATGTTATTAAAAGGAAAACAACCTTTCCTCTTTTCTTAATTTCTCTTCTCCTTTTCCACACTTTTCTCCATTTTACTCTCGTCCTTTCATGATATGCCTTCATTCCTCCCTTGTAATTCCTTCCGCCTTATTTGTCAGTCTTGTTCTCAGTGCCTCATTCCTATCCTACAGGGCACAAAATACAGTCCTTTTTACAGTTGCCAAGGTGCCTGGAGAGAAATGTCATGTCCCTTTAGTAAGTCATTTACCACCCATGATGGGAGCCCAGGGAGTGAGGGTGGCATGGTATAGCCAAGGGGTGGCCAAACATGCTTAATGTAAGAGCTGCATAGAATGAAAGTCAAATGCTTGAGAGCCTCAAGACATGAACAGATATTACACACACGTTTTAATTGAAAAAAAATATGTGTTTGCTTTTTATTAACATTTAAATGAGACTGACAAAAATAAAAACAAAAGGGGTAAAAATAGATATTGATAAATAGATGGGGGAACGAGTAGGAGGAAGGAAGGAAGAGAAAGAAAGAAAGAAAGAAAGAAAGAAAGAAAGAAAGAAAGAAAGAAAGAAAGAAAAGATGGGAGAGGAAAGAAGGAAGAGAAAGGTGGAACGAATGAAAGAGGTGGGAAGAAAGAAGGGGAGAGAGAGAAACAAAAAAAAGCAAATTGATGGGGGAGGGAGAGGTGGAAAGTAAGCAACTCTAACTTTAAATGTGTCCTCCAAGGCCCCCCAGCCCCCATGTCAGCCGGCTTGGAGAAGAGATTTAAAGAGACAAATGCCTTCTCCAAGCCGGTCAGTTGGGGGGGGGGGCCTTTGAGAATGCATTTAAAGCTAAAGTTGCTTTCTTTCTTTGTTCCCCCTCCCCCCACATACACGCACATCAAGCCTACCCAGGGAGGGGAACACTGGATGAGGAAGGGAAGACTGATCGGGGAGGCATGCCTCCCCTTCACTTCCCCAGCCACATCCTGCCGGGAGCTGCACAGTATGTGTGAAAGAGCCGCATGCGGCTCCCGAGCCACAGTTTGGCCACCCCTGGTATAGCCTGATCTCATCAGAACTTGGGAGCTAAGCAGGGTCAGCCCCCTGGTTAGTACTTGGATGGGAGATCTCCAAGAAAGACAGCAGACAGAGGCAAATGGCAAACCACCTCTGCTTTTCACTTGCTTTGGGAGCCCCTTGCTGGGGTCCCCGTAAGTCAGCTGCCACTTGAGCGTCCAGGTGGGAATCATCCCTGCGTGTCTGAACCATGCAGAGCAAGCCCTCCTTCTTAGACCAAAGGAACAGGAGGTGGGGACAGAGTCATGTGATGTGTCTCCACTCCCCAAATAACCCCACCAACGCTCCCGGCTGGCAACGCTAGCCATTCCTCCATGGCAAAGCATGAGCTTTTTAAATTTTGGAGCTCCCAAGTGAGTCCCCGGGCGTTGCCCACTTTAGCTTCAGCAAGGATGGCAGCGACCCGAACCCATTCGTCTTCCCAGACCCTGCAGAAGCCTCCAGAACATCCGATTTGACTTTCTAAGGCTCAGTTCCATCCAATGCTGGTGATTCCGTGAACAGGAGTTTCCTCCTTGCAGGGGTTCCGAATGAGGCTGCAGCAGGAGGGGAGATTACGCCAGGGCACCATTGGGGTTCTGACACAGGGCTGTGGGTGCAATCACAAAAGAGCTGCCCCAAGAGGTGGAGCCGCACAAGGAAGCCGAAGTGTGAGGAGAAGAGGGGTAAATTAAAAAAAATACCCTGTGACAAAGACGATTGAGAGAAACCGTGGTGGCAGCTGCCACTGAAACAGAGCTATGTTAATCAGCACAACCAATCAAATCTTCAGTGGCAAATCAGAAGCCCTGCTGGACTGAAGCCCCACCTACTTTCTGTAAATATTGGCAGGCCCCCCAAGAAAGTCAGCGGGGGGTGCCCATGGTGTCCACCCATGATGGGACCATGTTGGGGAGCCCTAGGTTGAGACTTCCCCCTGCACCATTTTCCAAGTATGAATTCAGGGCAAGTAGCCGCTTCCCAGGGCAGTGTGAGATTAGGAAGAACACTGAAAGTCTTTCTGTTTGTGGCTTTGCTCAGAGTAGGGGTCCCAACTCCATGTGAGAAAATTTTCAGGGAACAAAAACTCTGGGATCTCTGTTCACAGTGGCTAGTCGAGCCGTATGCATGAAGGAGAGTGATAGTCTTCACAGCCATCCCTGTCAGCGGGACCAGATGTGGGGAGAGGAAGCTTGCCTCTCCCTAGCAACACCCGAATCATGGACCTTTTCATTCCCATTGTTTTTTTTTCTTTTTCTTTTTGAAAAGTTTTTTACTTTCATACAGACATACAATCACAAAAAGACACACACAAAAACATACATAAAATGGAGGGAAGTGTAGGTATTACAGAAGTCTCTTTGTTATGGTAACTAGTAGTTGAAATCTAATTACATATTTTAGCCTAGTAAAATACGATAGTTTAAAAAGTCTGCCACATTTGTTTGTTTTTTAAAGTAGTAGAATATCTCAAAGTGTAAGAAGGAGTATATATTTCAGTTCATTTGATGTAGTCTCCAAACCATGCATAAAATGTGTTCCATGTATTGTGAAATTTCTGTTCCTGAAGTCCTTTTAAAAATAAAGTAATTTATCCATTTCTGCTGTTTCCAGTGTTTTAGTTATAACTTCTTGTTTTTCGGATGTTTCTTCTTTTCTCCAATATTTGTGGAATGAGCTGAAAAGTTGCTGTCCTCACCAGACCTTGGGAGAGCCCACCTTCCTACTCTTCTAAAATGGCCTCCACTCTCTTATGTTTGGCATTTTCTAGAGAGAAAGCCTTGGGAATGCTCTGAACAAATCCCGTGAGACCTGACTAAAACACCGTGTGGGTTAATCCTGACCACAGATGGATCAAGTAGCCCTTTCAGTCTAATCGTAGGACATAATGGGATATGGAAGGTCTCCACAGTACCTCAAAGGAGAAACAACGCCTTACATGGGAGATTCATGTCCAGATCTCTCAAAGCTTCCTTCCCATGATACTACCACAGTCAGTTTTTCACTCTTTCCCCTTGCCCCTTTTTCTTAATGGAATTTGCCTCTCCTACAACAATGCAGCTCTCAGCCACAGCTGAGGGGAAATACAGTCAACATATAGAGCAAGGGTCCCCAACATGGTGCTCGTGGGCACTACGGTGCTCAGAAACCCATTTCTTGGTGCCCCACCAGTGTTTGTAGAAGGTAGGTGGGGGCAGGTGGGCCTCTTGCCTCGCAGGACTTCTGATTGGCCACTGAAGCTCCAACGGACTAGGCAGATGGAAATAACATTATTTCAGCAGCAGCTGCCACCAAGGTAAATGTTTCATTCTCTCTCACACCTCTTTCCCAGTTTCCCAGTGTCTTTCTGAA